AGTGACCATGTGAGAATCTTTTTGCTGGTGGGGTCTCAAGAATTTCATGGCCTTTTTCCTGTCATTGTTTGCGAAGTGCTTTGTGAATATGGACTCCACTTCGTCCATCAATCTTACCACCTTGATTTTTTTTTAATTCAAAACCACCAATTATATTTTAATTCTTTTGATACTATAACATTACTAAATAAATAGCCATCCTCTTATTCCACTCATATAATTAAATTATTATTACCTTATCAGAACTGATAAATTGTGATCTCTTTACGACTTTAAGATAACTTGATGATGCGTGCTGACCAGAAACCTGTTGGTCCATATATTAAAAACCCATCATTAAGCACTATAATCTTCTTCTTTTTTCATTCAAATACTTTTGGTTGATACCACCCAAATTGCCATCTATAGCCACCACTTTACCTTGTCGAATTTCTTCATTATTTTTGTAAAAGCTATCATATTCAACGAGCTGCCAAAGAAAAATCGAAACAAGAATCATAATCATAGGATAAAATAATATATGAAAGCTATCATATTGAATGAATCAATGAATCTACCTATAAGTCTTTAACAAGCCAAGACCTCTATAGAGCTCAACAAAGGCTTTTCGTATCATCTTCTCGGCACACTGAATCTTTTTCCGGTTGATGAAATCTCCTCCGCCACTTCTTGGATTGTTAACAAGCTCTTCCCATAGAACCGACGTGGCGGTGGCGATGGATCTTGCACCGCCACCGTCAGCTCCGGCCACCGCGTCGGGAATGTCGACGCGGAGAGACATCTTTGGTTTGCCTCCTTTTGTTTTGCTCCTCGTTGCAGAGTTTATGAAACTCACACCATTCCTCTCTAATGCCTCTATGATCTCGTCTGTTCTTGATGTTTCACTCTGTGTCTCACTTAGTTCTCCAGGAGACCCTAATCAACAAAATAAGAAAATAAATAAGATTTACGTGTTTTGTTACCTTATTGACAACAAAAGACACAAGATCTAAAGAGAGAAGGTTTTTTTTTTTTGTGTCGATCTTCTATTGTCGGTCCATTTTTATTTTCTTACTCACAAACA